GGAAACCAGAATAACTCTCTTGTGTCTCTTTATTTTTCTGCACTTTACTACTCTCATAAACACCATAAAACAGAAAAATAATATCCATTATCACTAAAACCAGAAAAATAATAATCTCATGCACTACATGCACTACTACCTGAAAAGGACAATACTTTGAAATTACTCAAATCCAACATTCATTATGCTCAACAAGTTATGAAAAAGTATGATGATGCTAAGAACTTTTACAGAGATCAAAGTTAGCGATATGGTATTGGTTAAGTTACAGTTGTATCGTCAATATTCCTTATGCTTGCACCAAAATCAAAAACTTGGCTTGAGATATTTTGGTCATTTACATGTCATACAAAGGATATTTGTGGTGGCTTATTAGTTGTTACTGCCCTAGACTTCCAATATATATACAGTTTTTCATATTGTCAAATATCAAATTATGCAAGGGTAATCAATATGAGCAATACCTTCCAACACCTTTCCTCACTACTGAGATAAGCACTATTATCTACCCCGAGGAAGTTTTGGACACTCGCATTCGGCCGCAACAAGACATCAAAGTACCACATGTGTTAATTAAATGGTCTAGATCACTAGTTTCTGAAGCTACTTGGGAAACATGGACTGATTTTTCCAAGACTTACCCTAACTTTAACCTTGAGGACAAGGTTAATTTTAATGGGGGTTAATGTTATGAATAAGGACAAAGAAATTACAAGGGTAACTAGTTCACATGATGAGGAGGAATATTTGGCCTTCGATCCGCAAATTCATGACCTGAGACGTGGAGAGAGAGAGAGAGAGAGAGAGAGAGAGAGAGAGAGAGAGAGAGAGAGAGAGAGAGAGAGAGAGAGAGAGAGAGAGAGAGAGAGAGAGAGAGAGAGAGAGAGAGAGAGAGAGAGAGAGAGAGAGAGAGAGAGAGAGAGAGAGAGAGAGAGAGAGAGAGAGAGAGAGAGAGAGAGAGAGAGAGTCCCAAATAGAAAACTCAAGGAAGACTTTGATTAAATACCCTTATGATTGACAATCATTGGCATGTAATTTATTGAGGAAGAAGACGACTCTATTCACTCTCTGGAGCTCATGATTTTCTAGTACTTTCTTTAGATTCCATCTTCCATTTTCCTTTAATTAGTGTAATCATTTTTATCAGTTCAGAACAACTATAGTGTTACATTGATATTTAATACAATTTTCTTCATTTTGCCATTGTATTTAGATTTTGTATTTCAGCTCATAACACCTTATCACTCAAACTAGATAAAAAGATTTTGACTCCGGTGATGAAGAAATTGCTTTAATCATTCAAAACTTCAGAAGATTCGGGAAACGCGGAAAACAACAAGAGGAGCAAGGAAAGAGCAAATGAATGCCATCTTTCATCCCAATATGCTTTCAATATGGAAAGAAATGACACATAAGGCCAAACTTCCTTTTAAATAAGAAAAATAACCAAAATCAGACGAAGTTCCAATTAGCTGCAAGACATTATGAAACCATGGTTCATCATGATGCGTGAGCTTTGTAACCTTTATACCATGGTTGATACATTTTAATGTATCACGATATTGAAAAAAATAAGTACTTCCATTGTCACATTATTCAAATATTATAACACATATGTTTGAAAGAGTAATTAAAGATTTATGTTACCTTTCCCCCTCACACATGTCTAGCAGCATAGTCTAGATACAGAAAAATAAGTGAAAGATTTGAGGGGCCTCCCGGGAAACCATCAGGCACAACAGCATCTAGAGCATCTAAGGCAGCATGGGACTTCTGATTTCTCTCTGCAAAGAGAAGCATGTTGGACTAATCTATCATATCTCAGTCTTTCTTGATTGTCATACATTTTTATTATAATCAAATAAACATATAAACACGTCATAACATAGTACATAAACAAAAAATAATGAAGCAGGACATGCATAGAAGCAAACTAATAAAAAAACAAATAGCAGGAAACTTCTTATTTTGTTCTCCAGACTAAGGATCTGAATTTCAAAACTCGAACTGCATTGAACCAGGAACACGAAACAGAAATAGAGAATGCACGAACCCTAAACTTTAATGTTCAAAACTTCAGAGCAAGATAGTTCAGGACAAACCAAAATGACATATATATTGCATCTAAGCTTAACGTATCATACCTATAGTTTATTTAGGTAATGCATGCATGTAAAATCAAGGGTTAAATATGTTTTTGATCCCTATAAAATTATCAATTTCTATTTTTGGTCCTTATAAAAATTGCATGTTTTGATCTTTACAAAATTATAATGCACGTAATTTTAGTCTCTTCTGTTAAACTAATGTATATTTTTAAATGATTATTTTGCAGACATAACGTTATAAAAAGTTTCTCGAAAAAAAACTCAAAATTTGATTTATAAGTCGAGATTTTCATTATTTTTATCATTATCTTTTAAAATTTTAAAAAATCATATTTAATTCTTCTGATTTTAAAAAATTCTAAAATTTGGTAAAGAAATATTTTTATAGTATTCAAAACATGTATAAAAAAAGTTATTCAAAAATTTAAAAGTTTGAGGATAATTAAACAGTTTTCAAAATTTTACAAAATAGCAGGGATTAAAATTGTATGAATAAAAATTTTGTAAGGACTAAAATATATTATTTTTTATAGGAACTAAAATTGAATTTTAAGATATTTATAGGGACCAAAAACATATTTAACCTCAAAAATAAAAAAATAAAAAAGAATGGAAATGAGTAACTTACCAATGCATTGGAGTAGAACTTCGTATACATGCAATATGATTAGAGACATGCTAAGTTTCAATATAATGGATAAAATCTTTAAGAATGCTTGGAAAAATCATGGAACAAACTCTAAAAACTCAAACAAGGAAAAGCTCTATGGTTCCCTAATTTTGCTTTGTTCGCATAAATGAAATGAGAAGACATAGGAAAAGACGCGAATATTTAAACAAAAACGTCTGGATTCCAATTTTCAAAATAATCTAGACATTGGAATCCAAAATATTTTTAGTTGTGTAGTTCAAAGATTAGGCATATGTGTGATTTATTCGACGCGTCTAGAATTCAATCTTTATAATTTATTATACTGATTCAAAAATCCAGAGTTATTTTAACTAACGTTAGCGAAGTCCATAGAGGGTTTGTTGTATTTTAATTATGCTCAAATTTTAAAACCTAAATTTTATTGATATTTTTGAAATTTCGTCTAAATATGTGATTAACTATTGGGGTGTATTGAACAATCTTCAAAGAATTAAATGTTTGACTAATGTTTGAAAATTCGATACAAATCCTCCAAGTTTTGAAGACTTACCTTCTTGGTTAGGTCGACTTTTTGTGGATCAAATTTCTTAATCCAAATCATGCCAAACAAAATTGTGCCTGTCTGATTGCCACCCACTATTCCATAACGTGTTAACACCTGCCTTAGCATCGAATTTGGAAATCAGTTGGATTAAATTTTTAGTATCATTGATTCTTGTCTAGTCTTAATTTGCATGACAAGTTTCTAATTGATCATAGGACTTTTAAGAGCTTAAATTGATAAGCTTTACATTCGAACCTAGTCAGCATAACTAACAATACGATCATTTTAATGGTAATAAAAAGATTCCAAACTACAGTCACCTTATCTCTCCAACACCTATTGGTCACTAACAATATTATTTGATTATTAAATTTTATTTATCAATGTTATAGTAAATACTAAAATATGATTAATTTTGAAGAAATAAATGAAGGATAGATTAAAAAAGTAGAAGCGAGTGAATTTGTTATCTCCTCTATTAGAATTTATTAAATTTGCTCTATGATAAGCAATGGGTCAGCAATAGTGGCATTATCATCGATGCCAAATTGCTTAAACAATAGTACAAAGTTTTGAATTTATTAATAATATACAAGGAAACAGGATAACTATCCCTGAATCTTATGTCTTGGTCTTGTTCCCTTTTTTATATAGTCTTATATTAAAATTAAACAGTCTTATAATTAGTGAAAAAACAAATATAAACGAAAGTTTTGCTAGATTTTGCCAATATCATGGATTCATGATTTGAGTTCAGGTTAAAGATGTAAAGACTTATGAGTGTGTTTCTCTAATAATTTTGGATTCAAATTCCACTAAGTGATAACAATTCATATATTGGACCAATCCATAAAAGCTTTAAATAGACCATCTGCTAATAGACGGCAGTAGGATTAATCTCAAGAACTGATACCAAATTTAAATAAAAAGAAAAACTTATCTTCAAGCTCTGACAATAAAAGGTGTATTGATTAGATATGCCTCTAACTTGCCAATCCCACGGGATGATTACTCAAGCACAATTACAACCACTGCCACGACCAAATGATTTAGCTACACATAGTTGTTGGCTACTTGGCTCTCAATTAGTCCATACACTCATCATACAAGTTTTAATGCGTGAAGCTGAAGCAAAATTTTAAGCTGATTTTAACATTTAAATAGACAACGTGGCTAACATTAATATGTAGTGAGCATGACGATGAGGTAGAGAACATGCTTCCAACCATTTAAACCATGCAACAAATTATTAGTACAGTATATGACAAATGATCAGAGCTTATTAACAGAAAGTACTAAACACGCCTAATTATCAAGTCGATTAAAGCATTTATCAAGTCGGCAAAATAGATCGAACATCTTATGAAAAATTGTTCTCTTCTTATTTTTACCATGCTATGTTACAACATTTCTCCAGCATATACAGCTAACATAAATTTACAAAACTATAGGCAAAATTAAAGAGAATAAAACAAATGCACATAGTTTTACCATATGAATGAACATCGTCACTAATCACCTTCACTAATCACCTTCCCCCCTTCTATACAATACTCGTAGCAGATAGATAATAAATCTGCTTGCTTTCAGCCAGCAACTGGTGGAGATGATGGCAGTTTACACAAGAGTAGCTAGCTAAAAATCACTTCCACAATCATGTGCTAATTGATTAAAACAAAAGTTGTAGTTGATAGCGTCACAAAATGGGAATTGAGATGCTCTCGTTGTTAATATGATGCATTTCATTTTTTTCAGCCTTGATAGCAGCCACTCTAGCTGCATTGGCTGCTCTATTAGCTGCTGATACTGCTCTATTCACTCTTTCATCTACCTTGGCTACATCATAGGCTTTTTCAACTGCTCTTCTAGCTTCCTGTTTGTTCACAAAGAATCTCGTAGTTAATAATGAAAGCTCACAAGAATACTGCAAATTATCTATCTGTTAACAGTTTTTAATGTCTTGTTGTCTATCCTTTTTATATACAAATGAGCTCATTTGAGCCACATATAGAAGAAAACGTCCAACTATCTGTCCGAAACTTAAGCTTTCACAAAGAGGAAAATACTTTAGAGCCAGAAATTTCGACAGAATGAGATAGCAAGCTTATTAAATATTGGACGATCAAATAACTCCTACCACTTATCATTCCAACAAAAACCCTTACACTATCAGTCAAAATTCTAGACAATTTTTCCTTCATACATAGAAATTTTTTGTTCTTCCCCCTCCCAAATCCGTAAAGAATATTTCACATGCAGTGATAGCAAGCAACCTTTGGACATCAATATCTACTTTATATGAAAGTTGCAACAGATGAAAACCAGTACATGATTTTTAAATTTACTAGTAAAGAATTACACTTAAACACAACGGATACCAATTAGAATTTTCAAGCACAAAAACAAAGTAACTCCTATGAAATCATAAGAATTATTCATGCAATGTTAAACACAGAAAAGGTATGTACATTATTCAGATTATTCTAGGCCACTGTGTAAATACATGAGAAAATATTTGAAACCAATCATCTTTTTTCTCTTAGTGTTAGCTAGGAAAAAGACATTTAACAATAGATTAGGGTTAGTATGAATAACAAAGTGTGTACCTGCACCATATTAAGTACTCTGGAATGATTGACACCTACTGGCGAAACTGGATATGTGGCATTCTGTGTGCTCGGAATGTCAAGGACTCCATTTTGCCAGTGACCAGATTGGGTTTCTCCATTTCTAAATGTATACATTCCAAGACCATGTCTTTTCCCCTCATGCCAGGTTCCTTCATAACGATGACCATTTGCAAAACAGTATACCCCAAAACCATGCATCTTGTCCGCAAAATATTCACCAGCATATGTATCTCCATTTCTAAAAAAAATTGATTATAGTCAGTATTAACAAAAAAAAAAAGAGTTACACTTTTAATGGTGAGTAAATAAAAAGAAGGTACATCGTGCCCTACATGCATCAATTCAACAGTAATGCACTAATGACGATTTTCCTTAGAAGAGAGGCATTCTACATGTGAGAAATACCAGAAGAATGCTTAATAGGATTAAGCACCACTATTCATTAAAAGCATGCCAAAAATCCTACTCAGTAAAACTAATACTAATAGCAAACTCAGTAATGCAATTGCAACAAAAAAACAAAATATGTGGCATCAGTGTTGCTTATGGTCAACAAACAAGGTATCTGTCAAAGTTAGAACTAAAAAGTAACCAAACTTAAATTAGCAGCATGTAAAGGACTTAACCTCTTGCAAGGAAGTTAGGAGATGATTTATGCTTTTAAACTAGGTTGAAGAGGCATAAAGCACCTCGATCTAAACCTAACCTCAACTATCAGATACATTTTGCTCTAGAAAAATAAAAAGTAACAAAAACAAAAAATAGGCCCTATAAATATCAGTTTTTTCTACAGTTTAGTAATTCCATCTGTCTGCTATATTATTATTAACAAAGAAAAGTTACAAGCCCTACACATGTGTCAAAACCCACCAGCTAGCCAGCTAGGAATTGGTGAAATGTACTACGATCCAGAGACAATTAACAAGTCCTAATTGGTTAGCCGGTCTCAGATATGTATGATTGACCGAGTTCGTGCTTATCTTTTCCTGGCTTACTAATCATTAAAACTTAACAAAACCAACCCCTTTTGCATCTGAAATCTATACTTATTCTACCTAATATAGGGCCAAAATACAAAACAGAACCCAAATCCATTCAGACAAAACAGAGAAAATAAATGGAAAAAAAAATCATTTGATCAAACAAAACAAACCATGTTTATTATTCACCACACAACCAAGACATATAAAGAGTATATAACTATGTTGAATTTGTGATTCAGTGTGTCTAAATTAGACAACAGTACATATAATTATACCAGCATATAGAATAAACACAATAAATACTAGTAATTGATACTATGATTTGCTAATTCTAATCCTAGTAATAAACATTGTGATTTGATTCTAACAGTAATTAATTGATCATAATTGCAAAAACAAGTTACCTAAAATGATAGTGGCCAAGACCATGCTTAACACCCCACTTGAACTGTCCAACAAATCTACTACCATCATCACAAGTATGAACACCAGAACCGTGACTGTGTCCATTCAACCATTCCCCAGCATAAACATCCCCAGTATAAAATCTATAAACCCCAAACCCATGTCTGAATCCATCTCTATACTGACCCTTATACCTACTCCCCTTAGACCAAGTCTCAACCCCAAAGCCATCATATTTCCCATCCACCCAATCCCCTTCATATCTCCCACTCATACTATAGTAATAAACCCCACTCCCAGAACACTTTCCACCCTTCATTTCACCTTCATAAACGTCACCGTTTGAATAAACCCTAACCTCAAACACAACCAGCGTGCTAGTTAACTTATTCCTCTCCTCTTTCTTGTCCCTCCACCTCCACCTCCGCCGCCACAGACGCCAGTGCCGCCACCGATTCCAGCGCTTGACAGTCAGAACTATAGGAAGCGACTGAGAGGATTTGAATTTGAGGGAGAGAACAAAGAAAAGCGCGGCGGAGAAAGCGAAGGCGGAGAGGAAGTTGAAGAAGAAAGAGTGAGTAGGACGGGAGAGAAGAAAGTAGAAAAAGGGAAACGAAAGGAGGAGAACGAATCGGAGACGGTGGCGGAGACGGCGGAGTCCGGCGAGGGAGAGGGAGTACAATTGGGGGAAATTGAAGAAAAATAAGGATTTAGAGGGTTTGATTTTGTTGTGAATTTTGTGATGATGATGAATCGGTGAAGAAATGTGGTGGTGTTTGTGATGAATTGAATTGTAAAGTTTAGGGTTGAAATCGGAAGAGATTCCGGTGCTTTCTTTTCCGATCTGAATTTCCGATTTCTTTTGATGCATTACATTAAGTTGAAAAACTTGTTCACTTTTCTTTCTTTCTTTTTTTTTTTGTTTCTGTTTTAGTTCGTTGCGATTTCTATGCTTGTTTTGTTTGATTTTGATTATCAAGTGATCATGTTTCGTTTTGTGTTTAAAAAGCCGCGGGTTGGTGTCGTTTTAGTTAAGGTGATAATAATAATAATTAATAATAATAATAATGTGATGAACGGTGAGGATGGTGTGTGTTTTAAATTGTGTTTGTTATTGTAATTTGTTGATGGAAAGAGTGTGAATTTTGATGAATAATAATTGTGCATTGGAAGTGTCGTTTGGAATGAGTATGCGATTGGATGGATTGAGAAAGACAAAGTTGTTTGTTTCAATTCTCGAAAACGAATGAACTAAGAAGTTGGACGAAATTTCCCCTCCTACTAGTTTTTGTTTATTTGTTTATTTTAATTGCAGAGTGAGAGAAATAAACCTGGTTGAGTTCAAATTTACAAATTTAATTATTTATTTAATTTTCTTTTAACAAATTAAAACTAATTTCTTTTATTATAAATTAAAAGTTTAATACGTTGAAGAATAAGATATATGAAATTACTCTTAGTCTAGGAATTGGCCGCTTTCGCTAATGAATGAACAATCATATTCGTTTGATGTTTTATAAACTCTATCTCAAAGTTAGGAAAATTAAGCAACAATGCTTGAATAGTTTTAATAATATCATAAAACTTTGAATTACCAATAATTTTAGACTGTAAAGCTTGTATCACTCGAAGATAATCACTTTTAAAATTAACTCTAAGTTGAATAGTAATAGCACCTTGAATGGCTTTCTTAAGAGCTAATGCTTCCGATTCGATGACGGGAAGAATACCAATATCCCAAGTCGTACCTGCAGTATGAAAATTCTTTGAACTATCTCAGATACACCAACCTCTCTTAGATGTATCATAAATCTTATTAAAACCAGCATCCATATTACATTTAAATCTTCCGATTGGAGGCAGAACCCAAAAAAACATTTTATGTGGACCATGATCCTCATTCTGAGTATGTTGAACGGAAAACCACTCATGCCACCTATGAAACGCCAACCACCCAAGTTTAAGAGCATCCTCCCTCTCGTTATACCATATAAAATCATGTATATTCTTCCACATACTCTCAAGCATAACTGCAAACCTCTCTGATGTATTTCTATCCTCCTTGCTACAAATATCAAAAATTAACGACTTTACCTCATTAAATGACTGAAGACGGTGATCAATAATATTATTCAACTCGGCTGCCCGCCAACATTGATTTGTTTCAGGGAAACCAAAGAACACATGTCAATCGTCTTCTATATCATTGTTACAAAATGGACACGCACCCGGATACGGAACATGATGCTGATGAAGTCACACTCGAGAAGGAAGACAATCCTGACAAATCCTCCAGAGTAAATGTTTAACTCTAGAAGGAGCTTTAATATTCCACAGACTATTCCAATTCCGCCTATTTTCCCAATCTGAATCTCTTTTGATAGCGTTCCTCCACACCTTGTATTCAGACCTCACATTATAGCACTTATTATGTTCTTCCTTCCAAACCAATGTATCTTCTGTAACATCTTCTACTAGCGGGACTTGAACAATTTCCTCCACCACTGCATAATCAAACATGTCACTTAAAGCTCTCATATTCCATTGTTTAACATTATTCAGTATGAGATTGTTAATGGTAATATCATACGCACCTTGTTTTCGAGGTCCACCTAGACACCTGTCATAACTCCCTAAAATCCAAGGTTCATTCATCATTTTAATACGACTTTCATCACCAATGCTCCATCTGCAACCCAAAGTTAGAATCTCTCTTGATTTCCAAATACTCCTCCACACAAAACTTGGATTATACCCTAGTTTAGCTTCAAAGAAAGAGGTTTGCGGGAAATACCTTGCTTTGAATATCCGAGAGACTAGTGCCTTGGGTTTAGACAAAAGGAACCACCCTTGTTTAGCTACCATTGCCATATTAAAAGCTCTAAAATCACGAAATCCCATCCCTCCTACCATCTTGGTACTAGTCATCCTCTCCCATGCCATCCACCTTATACCTTTGTTATTATTACATCCTCCCCACCAAAAATAATTCAACATCTTTTCTATCTCATTAATCACTGCATCATGGATAATGTAAATGCTCATGATATACGTCGGAATTATCTATAACATTGATTTAATCATCACTTCTTTCCCCCTTTGGATAATGAATAACCTCTCCAACAATTAATCCTTTTCCAGATTCGGTCTTTAATATAAGGAGGGCAACCCCAAGTAATTATCGGTCTCCAGAACATGGCAGACTCCCATAATACCTGCAAGATCCTCCTTAGCTGGATTGCTCAAATTATTGCTAAAAAAGACTTCTGAATTTATCATGTTTATCTCTTGACCTGGCGCCTCAGCATATGTTTTAAGTAAACTCATGAGGGTCATCACCTCCAAAAAATTGGCCTTGCAAAATAAATAACAATCGTCAGCAAAAAGCAGGTGGAACACGCTGGGTGCCCCTCTGCATATCTGAACGCCATGAATGTCACCTCTCGCCACTGCCCCTTTAATCAGAGTCGATAGTCCTTATGAGAATAGGATAAAAATATAGGGAGACAGTGGGTCTCCTTATCTCAATCCTCTTTCTGGTTTAATAGGTCCGACATTTTCCAAATTCACCAGAACATTATAGTATTGAATCGACAGTCCTTCATTACTTCTTTTCGTGCTACCCCCTACATCAATATTGAGCCACCTCGAGGAGGAGTCGCCATAACGTCTAGTATTTGCTCTCAATTCATTAGACCATTCTCATATACCATTGTCCTCTACCTTAGCAAAGCGAATTTCACACTTGGCTTCTGAATGCCCTAACTTTCCACAAACTAAACAAAATAAACTCAACTTCTCATACTTGAATTAAATGATACACCATTCCTCGCCCTTATTCTTGACTTTCATCTGCTTCTTCAATGGTTGGCGCACATATATATTATCATACTCCACGAATGCTCTGATAAAATTTGCCATAGTTTTCCCTACTTTCTCCATCATCATTCTCGCCGGTAGATTATGAATTTGTACCCAAAAGTCAACATGGTACAGGGGTATATTGTCAATCTGCATTCCAATCCTCACTTTCTCAAGGATTAATATATATAAGTCAAATGTCCAATGACCACCTTGTAACTCCGCTTCTGTTGTACCCCAAAATTTTCCCTCCCATATTTCTCAATACATCTCAAGTGAGATCCTCAAATTGCTCAAGGAAGTCAAAGGGTTGACCAGACAAACTCTCTCCTAAGGAAGTCTACCTCAAATTAGGGTTTCGTGTTGCATCAAGATACTTGAGTCCAAGGGATCCCAAATGCTCACCATTGTCCTAATATGTTTTCAAGATCATCCATGTCAAGTTTCAAGCCTTGCAGAGGAAGTTTGCTCAGTCAATTACTCAAAGGTCTGAAAGTCGACTATGCTAGGGCAAAAGTCAACTATGGCCCACATACAGTCAAACTTCAAGATTTTTGGTCAACATCCTCATTTTGAAGTATTATTCATCATTTGATCAAGGGTTGATCATGATTCCTCAAGGATTGCTCATAATTCACCAAAACCCAAAAGTTGCTAAGTTAGGTTTTTGCAAGAAAAGTCAACTCAACTTTGACCAATCATAACTTTCTCATACTTTATCAAGAATGACCCATCCAAAGCTCATTTTGAACAGTATGAAATTCCCTACAATTCATACTCATCTCCCAAGTCCAAAATATGTACTCACAAGAAGTTATGAATTTGGACATTATAGGTCACTTTGAAAAGTCAACAAAAACACCTTTTTTGTCAAAGCTTCATACATGAACATGGAAGACTCAATTAAGATGAGACCAAAAAGGTTGCTTAGAGGATACCTCAAGCTTTCTAAAAAGTCATATAGAAGCATATGAAGGTGGAAAAATATTTTGCTATTTTAAAAATATAAATAATTTAAAGTAAATTATTATATATTTTAAATAAGAAAAATAAATTACTGTTAAACCAAATGTTATTAATACCCCAAAAAAATTATGAAACCAAGTTTAAAAAAATTTAAAAATGGGGCGGACAAATTTTGGGGTACAACACAAATGTTTGTTAATGGTCTTAGAATCAAGACAAAGCAGTTAATTGACACAACAACTGATGGCTCATCTAATTTTCAACATCCACTTGTATTAAGAAGATAATTGAAACAATTGCTGCAAACGAGCATTTGGAGCTATATGACAGGGTTGCGTGTAAACTAGAGGGAGTGATTGATTTGAAGTTGGAAGCCATCAAACAAATCAGAATTGAAGAGACACTTGTTGCAGAAGTGGAGAAAAAGATTAAGGCAGTGAACATGGGTATTAAACTTGCATCTCAGGTTCAGCAGACACAAAATGTTGTTTGTGAAATTTGTAGTGGACCATACAATACTATGCATTGTCTTGTAACTCCATAACAAATTGAAGATATAAAGTTCTTGAAGCAGAATAATCCCTATTTGAACACTTATAATCTAGGGTGGAAGAATCGTCCTAATTTCTTCTGGAAAGATCAGCAGTGAAATGTTCAAGATCAACAACAAGCTTCATATAAGGCAGATTGGGAGGCAACTATTGAAAAGATGGCGGCCCAAACTTCCCAATTCCAAGAAGATACAAGGAACAACCAAACGAACACGACAACGTATATAAAAAAATATTGAGGTTTAGATGAGACAAATAACATAACACATATCTCAGCAGGCACAAGGAAATCAAAAAAATTATGAGAGTGTTAATGTTGTCACAACGAGGAGTCAGAAAGTTGTTAAAGAAAAAGAAGAGGAGGTAAAATTTGATAGTCATGTCATAGAGGTAGAGATAGAAATGAGGGTAAAGAAGAAAGAACTGGAAGAAGTGTTTGAAATTGTTTGTCCCTGGTGGTCTTGTATTTGTTGGGGAACCATGTGTATGCATT